ATAATATATCCTAGACAGATAAACCGTCTCCGCTCAGAATCGTTTTTCGTATACAATGATATAATATCATTGGATTCAAATTTAATTCCATCCATTTACAGTAACCCACTTGTAACCTACAACTGTACAGCAGASTGACATCCACTTTCCCACTTTTTTTTAATACTTGCTTTTTTTAGATTCTGAGCGGAGCGAAAGAATGTATTGATTTTACAATGATGTGTGTATTTTACTTTTTTATTTTTTTCTGTCCTTCATCAACTTTTGGGGAATAAAAATGATGCGATTTTCTGCTTCCAAATTTTTCTAGTAAGAAAAGTGAATCTAGTTGATACATCGGATGTCAAGAGTAAAAAATTGCCAGCAATTTTTCAAAAGCGTTGAAAATTTTTAAGCAAATTCAATTTTTGACAATTTATTTTTAACGATATTGTACAARTAACATTTTATTATTTTAGCGTAACTCAAAAACTAATAACTGTAGTTACTTTTAATTTTCACCAAATGTTAATTTCAGACGATTTTAATAGAAATAATTTAATATTTGTAGTATAGTAGAATAATATCAATGTGTCCGAATTCAAGTAAAACTTAACAGTTTTTGTCATATAGATGTAAAATGTAAAATATTTAATAATTGGGTACTTATAACTACTCCTTGATTACACGATTTATGGTATTATCGCTATAAACAGACAAATCCACGATTGAAAACTTCTATTTAATTATAAATTGTAATTGCCATTAATAGTTGTTTAAATTGTTGTAAAAGTTGAATATTTTTCATAAATTTCGTAAGACCTAATTTAAAAATCTTAAAGTACAATGCACAGTAATCAACGAACGTCGAACACTAATGCCGAGTGCCTAAGTTTCATAAAAAAATTGATGAATAGTGGTTCGCTGAAGTTTTAATTACTTATCACATAAATTTGAATTAAATTCCAATCTAAATCATGTTTAACTGTTAAAGTAACCATTTTATCATTATTTAATTCATTATATATATTTGGTAGTTGTTTATATGTAACCCAGCATTAGTACCTACTAGATTAACTAGATAGGTAGTACTTAATCCAATACATATAAAAACCATTTTTATTAATGTCATATTATTGTTTAAGGTTTAACTGTATYTGTATGTTATTATCCCGTTGGTTATTAAAATAATTCTTACACGTATAACGCATGCAATACATTTCAATTTGATGACTTGCATTTGACATATTTTGATCGTCTGAAAAATATTATAACTTTCCAAGTCTTCAAACAATAAGTAATATTTGGTTACTCCATTTTATTAAAAATTGATTGTTAAAATAGTTAACATAAAATAGTCTACATCCACGTTTTTTGTCTCCGTCTTACGATTTTTTTTTTTATTAATAAAAATGCCTGTGGCGCCATATACCATATTGGTATACAAGTATTACAGCGAAACTTTCATACAACGAAGTCGCATGGGAAAAAAAATTCGTTAGAGGAACTTGTTAAATAGAATTACATATTTGTAATAATGAAGCCATGGAGGTCATGGTTTTCAAAAATATTTCGTTAAACAGATAATTTCTTTAAATAGAAGTTCGTTATATGAAAGTTATGTTTTATTTACAAAAATACACCGAGAACTTAATTCTAATGACATTAAACTAAATTTGTGTACTTTTTTATAACAGTTTTTTTTTCCAAAGCTTATTATTTATTAGTTATTTATACATATTGTGTTTAAATTTATAAATTTATTGTATGAATATTAAAATTAATTAAATTTTTTAAGTTATTGCTTCGACATCTGTGGTCATTGGCTTGCTTTTTGCTGTAAGGGTAACGGTTGTTAAGGTTCTACGGTTAGAGTGGTTGGTAGGTACTTGGTATTGTTGATGCGGTCGGTTAGGGCGGTAAAACACGATTGCGTACGGTCTTTATCGACATACGCAATCGTGAACATTAAATGTTCACGATTGCGTACGATTTTTAACTGCAGCTTTTAAGCACTGTTGCCATTTACTTTGAACTTATAGAACAGGAGTTACTTCCATATTTTTTTTTTATTATTATTGAATAACTATTTTTTATTATATTATTTTAACATTTAATTATTTTTAATTATTTTATTTTGTATACAATATTATTCTAACATATTTGTCGAAAATTGAGATTTGTAAGTGGTACCAAAACTTAAGTCATTTTTCCAAAATTTAAATTTTACTGATCAAAAATAAAAACATAAATTTGGCAACGTTGCACAGTAAATTTTACGCAATCGTTAGACTTTTGGAGTAAATATTAAAGTTAATGGTTTAACGTACGCAATTGTGWTAACGTATGCAATCGTGTTCTCAAAAAGAAACATCGTACGCAATCGTGTGGTACCCGGTTAGGGACATGTGATAAGGTGACAATAATTTACCACTTAAAAACCGAGTACTCAGAGCCGGCGCAATTGAATTGGTTCCAAATACAGATATTCCATATTTTGGCTATATGGCATAAGCGCCAGAGGTACAAAAATGACATATTATTTGCGCCAAAATTTGTATGACATGAGCGCCAATCTAATAATATTGTTATACCCAAAATATGACATAAGCGCCAAAGGTGCAAAAATAACATATCATTCGGGCTAAAATTAATGTTTTATATACCTTAGTAGTTATTTAAAAATTATTATCTTATAAAAAATTATTTTATATAATTTATTATATTAAAAACAAATCAATAATAAATTGTTAAAATATAATAGGTATACTTGCAGGTAAATATAAATTTAAATTTAGATTTGTTCAAAATTATACATTTTTTCACTCACCATTATTGAATAATCCACTTATGTAATTTCTAAAATTCTTAGCGATGTCTTTCTCTTTTATCAACTCCATGGATGCATTCAGTGGTTCATCTCGCATAAAGTACTCTAGTAAAAACTCAATCACAGTCATTTCTTCTTTTGAAATGATAGGTATAACTTTAAAAGCATATTCAAATTTCATAGCTCCACTCATTTTGCTGATTGATAAGTTTTTATCTATAATTTATTTTTTATTTTTTAAATAAGTATAAATAATAAATAAAGTAATCATTTGTGTTAAAACTATGAATATACATAATAATATATTATAATATATACTATTTATTATATTTGATTTTTATTTCAAATTATTATAATTACAAAATCGTACTTTTTTATTTTTTCTATGCGAGGAAAATCAATTGTATCACTTTGTAACTTCTTGTTTAATTCACATTACACATTCGTATAAAAATTAACCTTATTTGAATAGGAAACGAATTTGAACGCAAATTAGATTTTTTTTCTGGAACAAAAACATTTATTTCCACGCTCATAATTCATTTAATACATCGAAAATTAAAAATATTAATTTATTTTGAATTTTTAGGTTTTATTTTTACCTGAGAAATTTTTTAAAATTATTAGTACATTTTTAGTTTTTAACTCATTTACGTTTAAGGTGTATACAATTTGAAAAAAATTTAGTCAAAACTAATTCTAACTCCATTTATCATGTATGGTATATATGTTAAGATAACATAACAGGCAACGCAAGAATAAACTTTAATGTTTGTACGTTTTCCATTTTTATTTTTGAGATTTTAATTGTTTGTATAATAATAAGCTGTATATTGTAAATTTGTAACTATGATTTCTATAATTGCATTTAGTTTAAAAGATATTCGTAAGAATTGTGTAAGAACATTAATCACACAAAATATTGTTTTTCTTATGCTTTTTGATTATATCAACATATTAGGAGTTCACAAATTTATTTATAGTATTAAATTTACTATGACTTGTACATTTATTGAATTATAGACTAATAAAAACCAATAATCGAAATAGTAATAATTCGTTTTGTGGTGAAATAGATAATATTACATGGAGATAAAATGTGATAGATTATCTATATTATAAATTATAAATTTATGTTTAATTAATCACTCTTTTTTAACACTTTTTTATCTTCGATGTTTTAAAATAACAAATTTATGTATTATAGGAACACGATTACATAATATAATTATATAATGTATGTTGATTTCATTATACTTTTAAACTTAAGCTTAAACTTTAAACAAAGAGGAATTAAAATATTTTATTGAAAATCTTTTATATTTTAATCCTAGGATATTTTTTCCTTTTAATTTCTTAATAGTTACTTGATATTTTACATTGTAGCTGTGAGACAAGATTGATTGAAAAATTTGTTTATTATCTATCTACTTATTTAATTGTTTTTGATTGATTTAAATTCATGCAGCTTTTATTTTTATTTGTAACAGTTTAAAAAACGATTTAAAATAAAGAAAACTAACAATATTGGGTATTATTTTTTTAACTATAATATGAAAATATAATCGTTTTAGTTAAGTGTGTTCTATACTATCATAATTTTACAAAACAAATTACTAATATTAAAAACTATAATTTACCAATTAAATGAAGATATAAATCTGATTATGATATTCACATACCTATAATAATCGCAAAACAATGTTTTTTCGAACGGTGGAAATTAAACTATGAACTATTATACCAAAACAAATTATCATCAACAAATATTATCGATCTAATTATGAACTTTATATTTCCTGTGTTCTAAAGAAAGAAAGAATGTGTTTGAATTACACACTCCATTATAAGATAATTAGTGAACGTATAAAATATATTGTCAGACACAGGTGTACAACTACTACAACTCTCAAATAAAGTGAAAACCTTTCTAGTTCATTATATTTCGTGAATTCATAGCTACAGCTGTTCACCATACTTCTAATTTGCGTTGCCTTAAATATTTATGTATTGTATACATCAAACTATCAGAGAATTAAATTATTCATATATTCATACATCTACCCACAATGCTACACAAATAATTAGCTTATAATTTCAGTTTGATTTTTACCTTATTAATGCACTCGTTAAATATAAAACATATTTGTATATGTTTGGAGGTTAGTACAATATTAATTACTATTATTTGGCTTATATTATAAATAAAGTTATAAAACTTGTTAAAAAAAAATCAGTTAAATTAATAAAATATATTATTTACCGGTGTCCATTTTTTGTATATTAAATAGTAAAATAATATACAGTTCATAATTTATATAAATATATTTAATATTGACCTCAATAACGGTCAGCAAATTCATTTTGCGAAAAAATTGCTTTGTTACTGCCGAGTGCCGATTATCTTTAATCACTTTCTAGCGAGGGAACACGACGAAAATCGAAAATCTGTTCTTCTGCACATCCCCACTCGACACCTTCCATAGTTCCAACCGGTTTTAGGGATAGAGTATTGCGCGGGGATGCACAGACTCGATGTGCTCTCGCTGGGCAGAGTATAAATTGAAATATTGAATAAATGAAAAAATATCATTTTTCACCCAACCACACATACAAGACATAATATATTATGTATAATTTATGTAATATATGTATGTTACCTATCATATACATATTATATAACATGTTTTAACATGTACTTGTGTTTATTACTTACTGCTCGATTTCGATTGAAACACGAATAATAATTATTTCATATAAGATAATAGAATTAAAATAATTCTCACTTTTTCCACGTTGGAGGTAACCAAGGCACCTGGTCCGAGCGTATAGTTGAGCTTCCAATTGTGCGTTTGGTATCCGTGTGTCCGAATCGATTTAAGGTCACTCCAGACTCATTGAATTGTTTTCAAAATTTAAATGCATCACAGTTATGTATCAATAACTATAAAGATTGCTGTATTATATATTTATATATCATAATATGCATTTAATTCTGTTATAATATTACGTATAATAGGTATATATGCTATTATCACAAAATCATATTTGATCATTAATCATTGTATTTATCTGACGATTGTGACCTGGCGGTGTAGTAAACATGGGTGCCAGTAATATTTCTTCAAAATATCTAACTTTAACAATAATACATACGTCTTAAATATTTTAATTGTTTAATAATTGATGTATGGTTAAGAAGACGCTACACACATATTTGTTGATTTTGCTGTCTCCGTTTTAAGTGCGTACCTGACATAAAAAATATACGCTTAACAGATCACGTTTAACTCCGTTAGCTTAAAAATTAAAATAAATTGATCTATTATGAAACTTGATGGTAAGATTATCTGTACTAGTATGTCTTACGATAACTTAGTTTTTAAATGATTTGTGACTTGTGAGCATTTTTAATTTACGCTTTTTTGTATAAGCATTACTTGCTGTGAAATTGAACTATCGTAAAAAACCCACATACAAACACAGATAATGTTCTTAACTTCAAGTTTCATCATAGGTCGATTCACTCTAATTTTAAAACTAACGKAGCTAAACGCGATCCGCTGACAGAGCAACAAATGGATGTGTATAGCGCGTCCTCTTAATGGCTATACGCTTATGGAGAAATAATAAATATCGCTAAAATTTAGTTCAATCTTTATGAACAAATTAAACAGTTACATCAATATAATTTAATTTAATGCTTCAATGATATAAGTACTTATTGAAATACCGTAATTTTTTGTATTTTTTTTTAAAAACAAAGAATTAAAGTTTTCATAATACTATTAACTTCTATCTAACGTCACAATGCTATATTTATCACAATTTGTTTTACTGTTTTGAAAATAAATTTCAACATTTAGTGGAATGAAAAATAAAAAATAAAAAATACATGTTATAGGTAATAAAATTGACAACATCTAGATCTTATTGTGCATGTATAGAACAATAGAACCCAACTAAATTATAAAATTTAGTTGAAATTTAATTTCTGCACCCATATAATAATAAACTACAATATTATATGATATAGCTATCATTTAATACCTAACTTATTGTTGCAGAATCGGATTTTCCTTCTTGAACCATATTCATGTTAACTATTAAAACAATAAACATAAACACACAACACTGAAATACTGAATACATTGTACTGTAGCAGTGTAGCTTATACACTTATACTTGTAAACTATTGTAGATTAATTAAATGCATTTTGTAAATTCAACAATAACGTTATCATATGTGATATATGAATATATGTTTTGAGTATTTATGTGGCGCTCTACAAGATTTCATGACGCACATTATTAGCTGCGGAAATAAAAATAAAGATAACAACAACAAATGAATTTTCATCTATCACATATAGTAATAAACGTTTATATGAAATTCACTTGATACATATAAAATCCAAGGTTGTTAGGTGGGAAATATGTATAAGATGTATACAATAATCCATATCATAAAAAACAAAAAACGAAATTCTATTACAAATAACAATCTAAAATATTTCAATTTTAACATACATATACCTAAACCAAATTATTAGATAGATAGAGTAATTGTATTATAAGTTTACTAAATAAGAATGTAAATAAATATTATAAGAAACCAGTAAAATATGCATGAGAGCTACCTGCATTGGACAACTTCAATATAGTGCGAGTGCCTAAATTGATTAAATTAAATTAATTTTACAGTGAAAATGGTCGACTAGCATTGCCGTATATAGTTATTAATATAAACACTTTAGTGGTTCATAAATATTTACTAGTCGCATATAATAATTTACCAGTTTTAAAATGCATTGAATATATTACGTATGCGATGTAATAATGGGTAAATTCATTACGATTTAAATCATATGCATTGAATATTACATACTGCATAGTGCATAATATATGTAACGCTGATATCACTTATGTTTCTAAAATATCAGCCTCCTATGTTATATTTACTAAAGCATCTTTTTTATAAGTTTAAGTATTTTACTATAAAATGAATTATAATATCTAAAAACTCCGTAGGTATAGGTATCAGATACGTGCTAAAATAAAAATAAAAAATAAAAAATAAAAACTGACTATCGTTTCTACATGTGAAAACATGCGAAATGTCTAAAAAAAAAAGTAAAATTTAAACCTAAATATGTTTTAATAAGCAAAAATACCATAATAATACATACAACTACAGATTTGGTTTTGTTGTATGAACGAATTTGTTTCTGTCTGACAATTTTTTACGATCACGTTAAACAAATAAGCAAATGGTAGTAATCMCCTGCCGTAATAAATAGGTACATAGTTGATTTTTTTCAGTCAACCTTTTTTAACTTATTGTTAATTAAATTTAAGAAACAGGTGTATTCTATACAAATTCGGTTTGTTCTTTAAAAGTAGGTAATATAATATATACAATAATATTATAACATGCCATGTAAAAATATTATTTTTGTTGGACTTAATTTTTTTTTTTATCCACAAAAAATCCGTAAATGTACAGCTTAATAAATAATCATAAAATTAACCAATAAAATAAATATTATTTTTGTTAATTTTCTAACACACTATCACATAAATCAGTTAAGGTGTGACACGCGTGATTAGTATATTAYCTTCGTCTTACGAAAATACACAAAAGAGGTGCCAAATTTAGTTTCAGGATTTGTACAGTGTCAATTCTCTATATAAGTAAACTACAGCGAATTGATCCATTATTAAACTTAAATGTTAAGTCTTAAATAGTTAAATCCATGTTTTCTCGATTTTTTTACGATAATTTAATAATTATTAGGTGAGTTATGATAATTTTTAATTGTAATATTTTTCATATAGAGTTGAAAATAAAAATATCATAAAACAACTTCGAATAAAAATAGATAATGATCTAACTTTTAAGTTTCAAAATAAACCAGTTCTATCAATTTTTAATAAGGTTATAATTTATCACATACAATTTTAACAGTTAAACTCAAATTTCAATGTTCTTATTCTTCTTTGTACTACGTATATGAATAATGGAGAAAACACATGTGAATGTAGTACTTCGGCGTTCTGTTTTAGGAGTCTATTAAGAATTTAATGAAATTTATGTGATTAATTGTAGATGTTGAGTAAAAAATATAATTTTATTTGTATAATATAATTTGGGTACCTACCTACTTCTTTATGTCCTTTATATTATAAATATTGTGTTTACAACAGTAAAATCATTAATGTAGAAGGTGCTTTAGAAGAACTATAATGTAGATTAAAGTTCACTGAAATGCTTAGGATTTTAAAACAATAATCGTTATTCGAATTTTAAATTGAATACTAATTTATCTTTTATAGAATCAATTTCGACTGTATAATCATTTATTTAATATTAAAAATCCGGAAAGAGAAAAAAATTTTCTTTCGCGTAAACCTACAGTGCGATTAAATACTAATTTATCTTTTATTTATTTTACTATATAACAAAACTGATTTTTTTTTCAAAATTACGTGTAATTGTTTCTTATGGATTTTCACTTACCACAAAATCCAGGGCATTTTTGAAGTTGAGCTACGCCTATTTGTCCTGATTCACCAATAAATAATAGGTGGTTTAAGGATTTAATTTTTGTAAATGCTTTTGTTTTATACAAATGTAAAACATATATATATATATATATAACAATAAAACATAGTACATTAATTCATTAATACATATTAAATTACTAGATTATATTCCAAACGTAATCTAAAATCAATGTTACTTACCTATAGGCTATAATTACGTCCAATATTGCTGATAAATCCAAAGATTATCTTTTAATTATGATTTTACATGTCTAACATATAATCGATAGTTAAAACAATTATTATTATTTTTTGAAGTTCTGGTAAATCGGACAGATGATACCACAGGCGTATTCTTATTTTATAGCTCATTTTCCAGAAGCAGGAGTTAGGTAGATCATATATGTATAGTGTATGTTGAATTATAATTAAATCATGTATAGATACTATGAATCTTTGATGTTAAGTTTGTTAAACTTGTAGAAATCGAGTGAGTTTTTATTCGGAGATTACCCCGGAAAAATATTACTGTGTTGCATAAACAGTTATATAAAGAACTTGTACTATACAAAGATATATTTAAATTTAAATTTCTCATAGGAGTAATCATCATCTTAATAAGTGCATTTTTAACATAGGCTTGCACTGTCTTAATGTTATGTAACTACAAACAATTCTAAGGTTAGGTTTTTAAGAAAGTTTAGAAAAATATTTTATACATTTAAACACTATGTTAGTTACCTAGTTAGTTATATAATTTGTTCATGGTTTATAATCTGATTTAGTAGTTAAAGCTACAATGCATTATTAAAAAATATATATAAGAATACGATGTAAATAAAACGACCTGGACAGTGTTGAAAAACAGCAACCATCACTAGACCAGTTAAATTAACTACAATGAAAAAAAATGTATTAAAATTAAGTAGAATACCAAAATTTACTTATTTATTTTATTTTAATTTACAATTATAGATAGAAAACTGAAATGTCACATACGTCTAGTAAAAAAATATAACCTTATTTAAGAAACAAACAATGTTGATAGTTAATTCTATTAAAAAACACTTTGTTTTAGATGACAATAACTGGGCAAACAATTTATTGGATTCACAGTGATATATGTGAGTGCACAAGAGTGTTTGTTTTTCATTTTTTTTTTTTTTTTT